TCTTTACACCAGCCCAGTGAAACTATTGATTCATTCTAATAGTTTTCTACGTAATTTTTTTTTTCAGTTTTGTTGTGTCCTAACAGTCAAGAGTAAACATTTTGCATTATGAATTTGACCCGATTTATTTACTACATACATCGTATGTGTAAAATTAGTCTTGTAATTCTATACTTGATTAAATTCACTGTTTAAACGTTACTTTTTTGTATACATATTATTGCTTTGCCTACATATAAAAGAAACTACTGAATTAAATGCTCAAAATGAATTGTTTACCTGTATCCTTAAAACTGTTCTTCAGTATTTTATTTTCAGTCCACCTTAAACAGAAAAATCACGATGATGGCAGAACACGGTGCCATGGTATGAGTTATGCCCCCTGGCATTTCACGCCAGGTACCCACTGGCCAGTGATACCAAATGCTCAAACACCAATCACATCAGGCGCCCACTCGCCAATCACGTCTGGTAATTGATTATAAAATACCACTGTAATATGAACAGTATACTTGTAATTATGATGGGCATTTTCATATTTTGTTATTGGTCATCTACAAACCTACAATAATATGTACTTTGTTAAAAATAATGCCGATCCAACACACAAGTTCTCTGAAGCTGATATTAAAATGATGATGAGTTCGTCAATGACAATACCTACGTAGGCTTTAGAGAGCTTTTCTTACAGTTTAATTGAATTCCAATGGGTGTAAATAGTGTCCTCCTATAATCAGGCCTGTTTTTGGAAAGCAGAATATATTCAAACACTTCTACAGTAAGCGAGAAAGTTCTACCTTCTCTCAATAAATTCGAGTTAACGTAAAACAGATAAAAAAATATTAAGATAAGCTTTCCTGAAAATAAAAGTAAAGCACTCTATTATATTAGAGAGGCTCAGGGGTCATATTGCTGATCTAAGCAATAGCCAACTGACTATACTGCCAAAGTACTTTTACAAAATCAAATACAATTCAAATCGGAACCAGAAGTCTCTGATGAGACTGTAGCTCTACTGGTCTGTACATATACATGTAACAAAGAAAAAGTAGCACTTGGATTCAAAACTTTGCAACATGCAGCAATAAATAGAATTATATATCTTCATATAGTCTACTTGTGTGCCAAGTTAAATTGAAATCAAATAAAAACTGAAGGAGGAGTAGCGTTTTAAAAGAAATTCACAGAAATTTCTATTTTTAGTAACCATGGTAACATCATTCATCGAAATAAAAAACTGATGCTCTGAATTATGTATCATAGTGTAGTCTACTTGTTATATTGAAACCAGACCAAAACTGTAGGAGGAATTTCATTTTGAAGGAATTTCACAGGAATTTCTATTTTTAGTAACCATGGCAACATCGTTCATAGAAGTCAAAAACCGATGCACTAAATTATGTATCTTAGTGTAGTCTACTCGTGTGCCAATGTATATTGAAACCAGACCAAAACTGTAGGAGGAGTAGCATTTTAAAGGAATTTCACAGAAATTTCTATTTTTAGTAACCATGGCAACATCGCTCATCCAAATCAAAAACCGATGCACTAGGTTATGTATCTTAGTGTAGTCTACTTGTGTGCCAAGTTATATTGAAATCAGACCAAAACTGTATGAGGAGTAGCGTTTTAAAGGAATTTCACAGAAATTTCTATTTTTAGTAACCATGGCAACACCGCTCATCCAAATCAAAAACCGATGCACTAAATTATGTATCTTAGAGTAGTCTACTTGTGTGCCAAGTTATATTGAAATCAGACCAAAACTGTATGAGGAGTAGCGTTTTAAAGGAATTTCACAGAAATTTCTATTTTTAGTAACCATGGCAACACCGCTCATCCAAATCAAAAACCGATGCACTAGATTATGTATCTTAGTGTAGTCTACTTGTATGCCACGTTATATTGAAATCAGACCAAAACTGTATGAGGAGTAGCGTTTTAAAGGAATTTCACAGAAATTTCTATTTTTAGTAACCATGGCAACACCGCTCATCCAAATCAAAAACCGATGCACTAAATTATGTATCTTAGTGTAGTCTACTTGTGTGCCAAGTTATATTGAAATCAAACCAAAACTGTAGGAGGAGTAGCATTTTGAAAAATTGTTTACAGACAGACAGACAGACGGACGGACGCCGGACACCTTACTATCGCATAAGCTCTTCTGGTCTCTGACCAGTAGAGCTAAAAAAAACCTTGTATAAAGTGCATAAATGCTGTAAACAAACTTTTATTCGCGTGAGAGAAATATTCGCGACTTTCGGGACTTAAATTTACTCGCGAATATTAATCCCCGCGAATCATTTATTTTGCTTTTTATTTGTAGCGAATGTTTCCTCAGTCGCGAAAATTAATCGTCACGGATTGATTTTAAACTGACGAATAAAAGATGACGCGAATAATAGTTGGTATACAGTAATTTCTTATCTCTTAATAATAATCAAATGACTGTAAAAAAAAGAAGGTCAACCATATTGTGCGGAAATAAACAATTTTAACTATAAAAAGACCATGATATATGATATATAAAGATTTGTCATTGAAGTGTATAGTGAGTCTTTGCTCCATGCTTTTTAACCGAAGAATTTATATTCTTACGCACACTTTAAGGGGAAGAAGGACCTTGAGCTGAAAAAATACCTGTCATTCAATTTTTTTTTCATATTTTGTATATTTCTAATTAAGTATGTCCCATATATCTTAAAGCAGTTATATCATCAGGTTTCTTATCTTATTTTAGATCGAGATATTGCTTGACAAATACTATGCCCTACAGGATCTAAGTAGAGTTTTAGTTCTGCATGTTTCCGGGCCCGTTACCCTGTCCATAATAGGATTTTTTAAGCAAAAATAAAAAATTTGTAAGTGTACATATATCTTTTAAAATATTTCATAGTATGAATAGGGTTTAAAATTCGAAAAAGCAAGTTTCTTTTATCACACTGCATCTGGATAGCGAAAATTACGTACTTTTTAAGACAACTTAAACAACAAAAAACGTAAATTACCAAAAATTCTATCATTCAATATTTTTAAATTTACGTTGAAATGCAAGTCCTTCAAATTATTTATTAACTGTAAAAATTTTGAATGGTGAAGCTGACCTCAATATTGCACAGGACATCGTTAAAGAGGACATAAGCATGACAAAAACGTGTCATGTTTACATTTCTCGAGTACGGGAAAAACCAACTATGACGTCACACGTAAGCTAAATAAGATATACCTACATAAGATTTCCGTCATCAGCCATGCAAAAATCATTTTTGTATTCCCCGCTTCTCAGAATATTTAATCATATACTGATTATGACCTGTTTTTACATAATAATACCGCCCCTGTATTCACCGAGTATGATCTCGCTGTACTAACAGATCGTGTATGACGTCACCGACTTGTTGGACGCGCAGTTTAGGGAAACAGAGGAGTGGATCAATCTTTTTCATAATTTGTTAATGTTTACAAGAATTTTAAAACTTTTCATTTTTTTTAGTTTAAGATGATTATTCAAGTTTTAAAAATGTAAAAAAAAAAAATTATACAAGAACTGATGCTTTACACGTTTTGCACTTATATAAACGGGGACTATGACGTAGTTAAACAGTCATGTGACCATGTGTCCTTCATCCCCTTAAGTTTAAAACTTCAAAAACATAATAAGGAAGTGGTTATAAATAAATACATTAACCATATCAAAGCACACTCGCTAATGGAGAAGAATGAAAAGAACAATGGTAATTATGATATTAAATGAAGCACATTTCATATCAAGCAGCATAATCTTTATTAAAAAGTCTCCACAATGATTCCTCAGAGAAAAAAAAATGCATTTACAGGCCTGGGTAATTAAAACATGATATTTGACATGTTTAGCCTTTTTATGATATCAAATTACAGATTTAGACATATGCTGACTGCATAACTTTTGTTTATATGATTTTTCTAAAGAAAAAGTTATTAGTGAACGAGGTAAAAATTTTAGTCGAGTAATGTGGCTAAGGTTTATTTTTCTTACTATCAAATAAAAGAGTCAACCATTGTTTCATATATGTTCATAATAGATACAATGATGAATATGAGAGAGAGAGAATAATTTTGGTGTGGAAAACAATAATTTGCTCCCTTTTCCCCTATGAAAACCTTAGCATTGAAAAGATGTGAAAAAGGTTACAGATTTTCAAACGTAGTTCAAACATCAAGGTCAAAATTAATGGTGCCCAAAGAAAGGCCTTCTCACAAAAAATACACATGTGAAATATGAAAGCCCTAGCACCAACCACGGGTCACGATAGTCTAGTGGTAGGGCGTTCGCTTCCTGATAGGGATGCCGGGGTTCGATTCTCGTTCGCCCCGCCGCGTCAAACCTAAGACGTAAACATTAGTAGTTACTGTTCCTTCGCCAAGCTCCCGACACTAGAAATGAAAGTCACGGGTCTTTCAGATGAGACCTTAAAAACCGAGGTAACGGTAGGCGTTGGCACGATAAAGAACCCTCACTGCTCAATGGCCCTGAGTGCCGAGTAAAGGTCTAAATTTGAAGCCTTTCACCGGTATGTGGTGACTTCTCTATATGAGTGAAAATTTCTCAGATGGGACGTATAACAATATACAATCAATCAATAATGCTAAATTATCGTTTTCCCCGTTAACCCGATCAAGATAAATCAAGCACGGCTAGTTGACCAGTCTACATGGATGCTTATTCCTCCATGAAACCTGATTCCATATCAGATAATTTCAAGGGCTCGTGTTTGCTTGCTGCAGCTCTGCTCTCAATTTGTATTGTTTAAATACTCGACTATTGAGCATGATTATAGTTCGTTTTCTTCACATTTCATCTCATATAAAATGGAAAAAAAAAACTTAATTACATATTCATTTGAAATTAACATTAAATGTCTATTTAAACATAATTTTACAATATTTTATAGAACTTTACCATAAGATTATCAACCATCTTTATTTGAGTCCATGTTTGAATTTTAATCAGGTCAAAATATATTGGGGAATATATTTGGGATCCTTGGTTCTTTTCATGGTTGGGGAGGATGGTCATCTTGGGGTAAGTGTTCATCTACCTGTGGAGTGGGATACCAAACCAGACAAAGACACTGTCACACCCATCATCATCACCACCACCACCATAACACTTGTCCTCCGGGAGGAACTACATATCAAGTATGCTGGACACCATGTAGAGGTCAGGATTTTTTTCATTTTGCCTGCATTATTTAGTTAAAATCGAGTCTACATGTATGCAGCTATAAAGCATAAAACTGCACATATGATTATGAAAGGACCACATTCATATGAAGTAGCATTTATATTTTTATATCATTTTGCCCATTAGGGGAAGATCTTTTGATGATTGGGGGGGGGGGGGCAATATTATTTATTTTCATGTCAGTGAAGGACAGATTATTTTCTTTTTAAACATTTTCGATCAAAATTCTGCCACCACCCCACCCCTACCCCTTTCAAAATTAAATGGTCGTCCCCTTAAAATTGTGTTATGAAGATACGCAGGATTAAATTTAAATTCTTTATAAGGACAATTTTCAATTATATGCAGATATTCTTAATTCGAAGTTTCAAAAACGAGAAAAAACTATATTAAATAATATACTTTAGACCATTGATTGCAACATCTTTCGTTCCTATTCTCTTGTGTATATGTATATTCCTGCATGGTTTATCATAGGAGTTTCTGAATTTGTTTTTTCACTTATTTTTTGTCTACAACGTTTTCTTTAATTAACTCTTCTAGGTGGTTGGAGTCCTTGGAGTAGTAGTCCATGTAGTAAATCTTGTGGGGGAGGTGTGGCTACAAAATACCGTACCTGTACCAATCCGATTCCTTTGTTTGGAGGACAAGGATGCAGAGGAAAATCAGTGCAAATAGTGTCCTGCAACACTCATTCATGTGCAGGTATGGATTTACCTTCTCATTTATAAAGTATAATCCACAGATCTGTCTGCTCTTATAAAGATTATGGATCTTTCCTAGAATCTTTGAAAAGTATCCCTAGAAGAAAGACTTTATTAATGCCATCAAGACAATAAAATTGTTGCAATACATTTTCTGAACGTTATGAACTTCAGATGCTTCCTCATTTTGGCGCAATATCAAGTTTGAATTTAGACTTGAAGAACCCTTAAATATATTTTACAATAGAAAATTTGCTAAAATTTACAACTAATAATGTTTGTTTATATTTTTTTTTTCTTTTTTTTTTGTGCTTGGCAATAAATTCCTTTTCTGTTCTATTGTGTTCCAAATCTGAGACTAAAATTGCTTCCTACTGGTATGAGACTCTGATGCTATAAAACTGGAAACAAACGATGCTTTGGACTCAAGAAATGTCTTGTCCTTAATCCAGAATAATTTGAACAAAATAATGTTTTACAAAAATGAGAAGAGTAAAATTCTTGTGATTTTAATTTCCCCAAGGTTGATTTTTACAATGGGATATATCATAACCCTGAGCAAAGATCATGAAGACAAATTCAAGGTACATGTAACAGATTTAAGAAGTGTAAAATTCTAAAGGTCTCAAAAATCAAAAAATTCTTAGTGACAGAACGTTTTCTTTAAGAATCATCAGGAGGTAATACACAAGAACAAAAGTTAATGTTGACCAAGAGGCTAACTGTCTTGATTTAATGTTCTTGCAAAAATAATTTCTTCCGACTTTGAAGTTTAATGTTCTTTGGAGTAATAACTTTTGTGCTATTGTCTACACAATACAAAGGACAAACAATAATGCTGATATTACTCATGTCAATACTTTCTTGCAATCTAAGGAAATTTGCTTCACATTGTTTACTTTCAAAAATTAAACTTGATTATATGGTTCCATATGTCATTTCAGTTCCGCATTGAGCAATCGATATAACGTTAAATTTGTCTGTGGTCTCATCCGAAAGACCGTTCACGGTAGCTCAGTCGGTAGAGCGCTCGCTCCGTGATCGGGAGGTCGTGAGTTCGAATCTCGGCGCGACTTCCCGAAGTCGATAAAAAAAATGGGTAGCAACTGTTCCTTCGCCATGCGCTCGGCACTTTGAAGTGAAAGTTGCGCGTCCTTCGGATGAGACCTTAAAAACCGAGGTCCCATGTCACGGTAGGCGTGGGCACGTTAAAGATCCCTCACTGCTCAATGGGCCTGAGTGCCTAGTCAAGGTCAAAATTTGAAGCCCTTCACCGGAATATGGTGACGTCTCTATAAGAGTGAAAAATTCTCGAATAGGACGTAAAACAACGTACAATCAATCAATCATCCGAAGGACCGGTCTCCACGTCCCGCAGTGGGATTCGATCAGCTCCTTACTCTGCGACTCTAGAGCAAACGCTCTGACCACTGCGCGATGCGGGCGACCGTTTGCTGTCCTCAGACTGTTTTATTTAAACAAATAATAATATCCTTTGTCAGTTTTTTTCCTTCAAAGTTGAACAACCCCCTTGGCACACAAACGGTCATTTCTTTGGATTTCGAAAAAGAGTAGGCTCACTGGGGGCCACCAGAGAAATAAAATGAAATTGCATTTTTCAAAAAGAAAGTCAAAGCAGATGGCAGAACAAGGAGTGCAAAATGCCTATCACTTTAAATGTGAAAACGTCATATTCAGTTTTTTAAAGTTCTTATCCTTGGTATTATTAAGGTTTGAAATTATGACAAACAAAACATTTCTTTTATAAACATCTGCAGTTAAATCTTGTGTTGAAGTAGAAGATTAAAAATGGCATAAAATCCGGATTGATTCCGGAATAAAGTGAAACAGTACGCTCCCCGCCTGCTATTTATAACAAAGTATTACTACAAACTCAAACGAAAAAATGAGCCAATGACATAAATGTTCTGTACCACATTAACGCATAAAATTTATGATGAAATATTTCAACTCTACAGTCTACAAATGAAATTAACATTTTTAGAAATGCGACACTTATAAGCGTCCCAAATTTGTATCCGTTTTCTGTTGATTAAACGCGTATGTACACAGCACACTGTTAATCAGTAAGACTCCATTTACCAAAACTCCTTGATGTAGAGCTTACCAATTAAACACTCTGATTTGGTTCAACTTTTTTGGATTTTAGACTCCAAATATAGCTTGTTTATAGGAAATGGGGGTACCACCTCTGTGCCTTGTTATTCAGTGCTTTGGACATGAACTGTACGCATAAAATTTTTATGTACAGATTTTCTAAAAATTTGGCTCGTTTTTCTGCTGAAGGAACGTTTTGGGGCAACATTGGTCTATTTTGATGGAATGGAAGGGGTGCTGTCCAATTACCTTCACAATTTCCAACCATTTGCTTAGACATCAAGGACATAAATTGTCTATCCTCTGTCGACAAACCAATTTCATCATCATCCTGGTGCTTTGCGAAGAATTCTCGTCGCCCGCGTCGGGCAGTGGCTAGTCTGCTCTAGAGTCCCGAAGTAAGGAGCTGATCCTTACGTCGCGGGTTCGAATCCACTGGAAACCAGTCCAACGGGTAAGACCGAATAAACCGAGGTCCCGGGTCGCAGTAGGTGTTAGCACGAAAAAGATCTCTCATTGCTCAATGGCCCTATCGCAGGTTCGAATCCCACTGCGGGACGTAGAGACCGGTCCTTCGGATGAGACCGTGCTGGCACGAAAAAGATCCCTCACTGCTCAATGGCCGTAAGTGCCGTGTATAGCAGTCATTCCACAAAAACATGACCAATTAAGAATTTTTCATGTCGCTTACAAATTTACCGTTGCAATATCAGAACTATAAATTTAAAGGTAGATTTCAACTCTAAGACTTAACATATACACATGGTTTTGTAAATATTCACCAATATATATGCAGTTAAAGTTTTGATATGAACATAATGTTATGTTGAAAAACGTATATCATTGCAAATCTTAATGATGAAATTTTCAGCCGTACAATCGTTCCGAATAGATTGCAATGAATGTTGAAAAATGTCTTTTATCCTATATAAAAAGAAATCAAACCACTTCTCGCAAAGAAATGCATAGATCTCCTGTCATGCGAATTCATAAGCATGTAGCTTAAAATCTATTAACTTCCGCAACGATTTGTTTTAAATTTCATGCATAGAATGCAGATTTAAAAAAAAACTGAAACTTATCTGAAAGTGACCACGGAACCTTATATTATCGATTCCAGTTGCGAGTCAGCTATTTTAGACGATTACATTTTCGACATAACAAAATGAATTAGACAAAAACAGTTGGCTCTTTTAAAAATTTAACTTCCGTAACGGTAATTCAGGAAAGTTTTTGAATTTAAAGGTATAAACATTTTTATCATTTTGGGAGCGAAATGCTTCATACTTTTGTTTAATATCCTAAAATAAACTTTGATTTTACCTATTGAACCATATGAGTGAAAAATTCTCGAGAGGGACGTTAAACATCATACAATAATTCAATCAATCAATGGCCCTGAGTGCCGGGTATAGGTATAAATTTGCAGCTCTCCACCGGCAAGTGGTGGCGTCTCCATATGAGGGAAAAAATCTCGAGAGGGGCGTTAATCAAAGAGTTCTCATAAAGCTGCTACAAGGTTTACATTTTCCCTGTTATCTTGTATGATGTTGGTCTTGAAACTGATGACCTTAACTTTAAATCTGGAGAATGAAGTTTGTCGAAACACACATCCCAATAATTACCCAGCCCAAGCCAATTTTCTGTGCAAATGGTCTATTTAGGGCCAACTAACTGTTCTATGTGATTGTAATGTACCTTCAGTAGATCTCCTTCACTTAATAGTTAAATTGAAATATACGGACACACTCCGGTATTTCTGTAGCAATATGTTGCAAGTGGGGATAGTTATAGGCAGCTTCAGATTTGGAATTTCTTTCACATCATGAGGAATCTCTGAGCATTCCATCAATGTCGGTAACTGGTACTTAGTAGATCCCTGAATTTCGATCTTTTTTCTTGAAGCCAGGAAACTACCGGAACATGAGGTTAATCTGTTGTTGACATTTGGTCCTTGTTCACCTAGAGTATCAAGTAAAATGCTTGCTATTGTCTTATTACAATGTTTACCCAGCATATCATAAACTTTTACAGTTTGCTCATTTGTGTCAATGTTATAAATCTTAACCATCAATATCTTGGCACAGGAACGACCACAAAATTCATTTTCTCATATGCTGATACATGTACATTTAGAGTTCATGGTTTGATTCTTTTCGCCATTATTATTCTCGGTTGCGTGCCGTTTTTGATATGGAGTGTTTTTCACATAAGTATCCTTGCCTTCGAAAGGTGATACTTGTCGACTGTCAAAGTTCTCTGTCTCTTACGGTAAGCGGGATGCAGCATTACAATGCAATAGTAAGTACTTCCAAATTTGTTACACTTTATGCATACCTTAACTTTCCGCTTGATATGATTGTTTGATGTACAGCACCGAACACTTATTCTTTAAGTATTCTCTTTTCCCAGTGTCTTTTTTTCAGAAATTACACACACTCATCCAATATTTCTGATAAAGTGTACAGATGTAGTGGATAAAAACTCTGTGATGACCTCTCATTTGTAGGATGAACTTCATTTCTCTTCGAAACAAGTGAGCTATATTACTGTACAGAGTGAAGTTTCATTCCTTACGCGTTGGCTAGGACTGTTCCCTGCTGAACTGATTTCATGTATGAATGAAGCAAAATAAGTAAATGGAGGACGTACATTATTTTTTACTGTTTATATTTCACAGCACTGGTCATTGTTTTGAAGATTCGCAGGTAATTTTACAATAATAGGATTCAATCCACATGAAGTGTCATAAAATGCAAATAGAAAAAAAAACTTTGGATTTGCTTTAACAGACTCTACCTCTGAAAGTATTTCTCACTTTTTCTTACAATTTCTGTTTATTTCTCGGTATTGTTACTGTTAGAATTTTCTGAAGTTTCTTCT